ATGGTCGGGTAGATGGATGGGTGGATGTGTGGGTGATAGGAGGATGAATGGTTGGGTAGATGGATGGGTGGTGGGTAGATGCATGATGGATGGAAGGAGGATGAATGGTTGGGTAGATGAATAGATGGATGGCAGATGAATGGATGGGTGGATGTGTGGATGGTAGGAGGATGAATGGTTGGGTAGATGGCTGGGTAGGGAGATGAACAACAAAACAACAAAGTGAATTTGACCCTGACTTCTTCTTTTTTCCCCAGGGTTCACGGGTTTATTAGGGAGCAGCAGGAGGGAGACCCAGGGCCACCCACACAGCTCCCAGCATGTTGCTGCCCGAGAGGCTTCCTAGGGCCTTTCAGGATGGAGTTATGGGCCAGTTGACCCTGACTCCTGAGGAGGCGGTGTGTCAGAGAACTGCTTTCCAACGGGTTATCAATGGCTGTCTTCCAAGGCAGGTTCCAGGCAGACTCAAACTTCCACCCTGGCATCCAGTCAAGCACCCAGCTGCTCACGCCACCCAGGACTACCCGGAATTAGCTAAGAGTATCGAAAACTTGGGATTGAATGAAGTGAAAATCTCTAAGGTCCCTTCGACATCTACATTTTCGCTCATCAGCCACCAAACCCCTGCGGTCAATGACCTGCCCCTGGCCTGACGCCGCTGCGGGCCAAGGCTTTGCTTTGGGAGACCTACTGCCACGGCGCATCCAGAGGCCAGGTTTAAGTATCAAAAGCTATGTTTAATTTTAAGATTTAAACAGAAGCAAGGCAAAAAAATACCAAGGAAACTCGGAGGGACCATCCACAGGCCCTTTTGAGTTTCTGGACGTGGTCAGATTTCCGAGCCGAAACACAGGCCGGCCGCCCCCCCCCACCCGCCCCCGTAAAAATGATTTAGGTTAAGGCGCAGCCCCGAGGGGAGGTCGAGCCGGGTCTCGTCCCTGGCTGCGCTCGCTAGCTGCCCTCCTGGACGAGGCTCTCTTCGGAGTGGGACCTCGGGGTTCCTGGGGCGCCCTGGCTGGGCAGGCTACCGCAGTCTCTGGCGCTGGTACTTTGGGGTTCTTTGGGGGTCACGGCGTGCCTGCCCGAGGCGGGAGTCTGGGGCAGTGGGTGGGAGGGCCAGATGCAGAGCACCGCGGCCGGGTGGGGGCGGGACGGCGGCGTGCGTGGTGGGCGGGCCCGCTGGTGAGGTAGACAGGGCGCATTCCAGGGCCGCCGCTCGGGATCTGGGGACCAGCGCGCCCGCTTAGGGGCTGGCAGCACGTGGGGCAGGGGGAGTGTTTGTTGCATGGTCTGCATGTACGTCCATGACCGAGGTGACGAGCGCCCCTGGGTCCCTCTAAGCAAGCCAGGGGGCCACCCTGTGCGCCCCCGATGCCCACAGCCCCTCACTTGGCCGGCCTCCTCCACAGCCCGCGTCTCATCCCCCCGAGACGTGTTGGGGGCAGCCGGGGACAGGGCGCTCTGGTCTGCTTCAGTCTGCTGGGTGGAGGGTGAGGGGCCGGCGAGGTCCAGGAGGCAGAGCCCACCCCCTGTCCAGGGGTGGAGGGTGAGGAGGGTGGGAAAGGAAAACAGAAACCCTGCCGGGAG